CAATGGACGCAACTGTAATCAACTAGTAGTGGAAACCCGTGCAGCGATAAAGTCCGCACAGTTTAACCATCTAATGCGTAGAACTGACTACAATGTGAGCCCAGGGAATCATGGATAAAGCCAAAACAAACAAAAGATCGCATAGGCACATTAAAGGCGCCAATAGAAGACCCAAAAAGCTGACCTGGAGGGGAGTAAAGGTGACCGAGGAGGCGGTACCCACGGATGATTCATGCCCCCGACCACCAACTGTCGACTTGCCACCCCAAGCGGTAGCCGCTAAGGAGGTTGTTGGCATCGTCGAAAGGCCACCATAACGCGCCAGTTTCTGCTGCAACGCCTTGCTCACTCTAGCCTTGGTCTTCGAGTCAGCTTGTGGAGCACGCAGATGGCCTGCCACGCCACGCTGTCCCAATGAGCCCATGGAGAAGCCCAGATCAGACTGGTAGGCATCCTCAGACACTTCACCGAACTGGATGCGGTTGGCTGTTCGACGGAGTTCAGTCATGCCCAAACGCTCTTTCAGCTTACGGTATCGCCGACCGCCACGTTTTCTAAATAAAATACATGGAAAGTGGAGTTAGTGGATTAAGAACGCAGGCCTACGTGCAGAACACGAAAATGTATTGAAAAAACAGGCGTCCCAATAATTCGCAGATGGTGGGTTGACTTATGACTGACTGAATGAAGGCCAAATAAATCGGGAACAGTGCTGTACCAGTTTGCCCACATCTCTGTTGACCACCCCTATGTTGTTATAGATTGTCCAAACTAGGTCCGATAAGTGGTTACCTGTCTGTGCCACCTGCCCTCCGTTTGGGGATCCACTACTTTGAAAAAAACCCAGGGAATTGGTGTGCGTCTAGCCCTGCACGAATAAAAACCTGACCGGCAGTTGGAGAGGATATAAGTTGAGGAGGAAGTGATGGTACAATTAGACGTGCAGTAAATGCGCAAATGGTTGGATTGTAAAACAGCCCTCAAAAATCAACAATCCTCTAGTGCACCTACCAATGATCACTTCAGTTAAAAGCGGTC